AGAGTTTTGCATATTTAGTCTTAGGTGATATTTTTGTTTAAGTTCTGTCCTGTTAACCTTTGTACAGAATGGGGAGAAAAATCAAAAGTTTTCTTTCAATATCCTACTATCAAGCATCAGAGAAGTAAAATATAATTACTTATAAAGAGACTTCCATTAGAAATTCTGTGCTGATCTTGGGATTCAGAGCTAGAAGCCAAGACTTTGGATTCATGGTTTATTTATTCATTTGTTCATTTAATAAACACGTATTAGTTTCCTCTTTTTACTTTGTTTGCATTTCAAGCCAGTTAGTTTGCTGTCTTACTGAGGAGAGGACAGTTTTCCACTGAATGAAGGATATCAGAAGGTGTCATCCGTTTTGCCTCTGCAAAAGCTCTGTTCCCGTAGCCTTATCTGGTTGCTATTTGAGCTCAAACACTCTGAAAACAAAGACACACAATCCAGGCATCAGGAATTGAAAGACCCAGGCCAGGAGATTTAACAGGCTCAGCTTGTCAACCTAGGCTTCAGCAGCAAATGCTACAGCCAAATGTTCTATCGCTTTCTGTGCTTGTAGGGTTGGGTTGCCACACTGTCCAGATTCTGAGGCATTGCTCACTTGATCCTCACATTTTTCTCAAGTCCACTAAAGCAGGAATGAGAATTCTGTGGATTGTGTTCACTAATTGTTCTACAAGTTATCTGGCCACCTTACATTAAGATTTAAAACATTCCATCCACAGTTATTTGATACTGTAACTTTGGAAATATTATTTTCGAAGTATTTCTTTACAGCCAAGAAAATGATCAACGTTGGGCAACATTAATAGTTACTAAATATTGGCCACACCAAGTAATGGAAATTTAGAAAAGGAAGGGGAATTGGTGCTCACCTATTTTAGCTGCTTCACTCTACAAAAGGTTAAACGAAGGCTCAGAAATTTAAGTAACATCCCAAGGTTGTTTAATCAGAAAGGGAAACGGGTTTCCTAATTTTTAACCTCACTGTTTTTGGCTCTTAGTAATTTTAATTTCAGGAATCNTTGGAAATATTATTTTCGAAGTATTTCTTTACAGCCAAGAAAATGATCAACGTTGGGCAACATTAATAGTTACTAAATATTGGCCACACCAAGTAATGGAAATTTAGAAAAGGAAGGGGAATTGGTGCTCACCTATTTTAGCTGCTTCACTCTACAAAAGGTTAAACGAAGGCTCAGAAATTTAAGTAACATCCCAAGGTTGTTTAATCAGAAAGGGAACCGGGTTTCCTAATTTTTAACCTCACTGTTTTTGGCTCTTAGTAATTTTAATTTCAGGAATCATAGTGGGTAAGATGGTTACCTTGATTTAGCCTGATAGTTAGGTTTCAGAAAAAAATTAAATTAAATATGCTCTAACTTCTGCAATTTGTAAAACTTGGAGATCTCCCAGGAAACACTGAATAAAATGTTTCAATATGGGATCCTAGGAAAAGAAGGCTTTTACCCCACCTCATAATTAAATCTGAGAGATTCCTACAGTGAACTAAGAGGTTTCTAATCAAGTACTAAGCTGCATTTAGAATTTGAGCAATGAAAGGCTCTTTGTTCTCATTTCGAAATGTTCCAGTGCTGAACAATTTGGCTCCCAATACAGGCATGTTTTAGACCACCTGCAGACTCTAATCTACGCAAATTTATTTGGTACAAACTTTCTTCTACGTCACTTTATTCAGTATAATTCCAGAGAAGGTTTATTGCTAACATTTAGCAGCATTAATAAGAGAACAGCTGCTCTCATGGGGGCTGCCCTGAAAGGAAAAAGAGAAAAATTGAGCTTTTGTTAGCTTCTCCTCTGTGAATGCACTTCCATGAATGTGTATAACTTTAAGATGGAATCATCACCTTGACCGGTAGAGTGTTTCCTATAGCTGTGATTCAAATCTGAACTTCAGCCAATGGTCATCTGTAATGCTCTTGATTCAAAGGATTAGGTTAAAAACTATATTAACATTTTAAAATTTCTCAACAGAAGCTGATTTTCATTTAACTGCAATAAAAACAAAACAGAAATAAACCAGTAGATAGCTTTGGTAGAAAAAAAGTTTTTAATTTGCTTTTAAAAATATGATGTTTTAATATATTTTATTCACTTTGATGGAAAGAATTCAAATTTATTTAAATTTTAGTTTGCATATATCACACTTATTAGGGAGCTTTCCGGTGAAGAAATTGATCTATGAGGTCACACTCCAGGGCCCCATGCAGTTTGCCTGTGCCCTCACCTACCTGAAAGGCTGCAAGCCCTTTCTTCATCTGGTGTATTTAATTCTCCTTATTAGGGAGCTTTCCGGTGAAGAAATTGATCTATGAGGTCACACTCCAGGGCCCCATGCCGTTTGCCTGTGCCCTCACCTACCTGAAAGGCTGCAAGCCCTTTCTTCATCTGGTGTATTTAATTCTTATGATTTACATCCAACTCAGCTACCATGTTCTTTGCAGAAAATTCTGCCTATTCTCCCACAGGGGGAGTCTTCTCTGTTGCCATGGTTTGATGTGTCAGAGAGAAATTGCACCATACGCTTGCTTGTTAAAAATAGAAAAGCTTTATTTGAGACTATTGCAACAGGAGAGAGAAACTGAACTCAACTCTGTTGAAACAAAAGGCAGAACAGTTTTTATGTGCTGGGATGAGCTAGTGAAAAAGTGTTGGAGGACCCTTGGGGGGAGTTGGTTAATGTGATTAGACCATTTGACTGGTGCTCACTGAAGTTAGGCTTCTGTTCTTCCACAGAGACTGGAAGGTAGGGTCCGTCCTCCATCCGTCCCTCACAATTTTTCTCCTTCTTTTCTCTCACTCTTTCTTCTTCTTTTTTAAATTTCATTTTATTGTGGTAAGAACACTTAACATAAGATCTACCCTCTTAACAAATCTTCAAGTGTACAAGTTTTAGTGATCTGCATACAATATTGTACGTGAAGTCAATAATACTGTATTGACTACATCATTCTTGATTATTGCATTTGAAAGGCATGGTTCTGGGTCCCTGAGAAAGACAATCCTGGGATATAAAGCTGTCTGCAGGCTGGGAAAAAGATTTACCTATTTTGTAAAAGGGCAGAGAAAGGATTTGCTGTTACAAGTTTTCTAAAATACATGCTCTAAGAAGAGGGATGCCAGGGTACTATAATCTGGAAATCTGCCTAAAGTTCAGTCAAACTAGAAGGAATAGTATAGCCATCTTGGTCACAACTGTATGTCTGTCATAAAACAGCACACTTATTTCAGTTTTTGTCATCTTGGCTTTCTCTCCTATAGACTGTAGGCCCCTTTGAGGAAAACTCTAAGCTTAATTGATCTCTGTTTCTACAGTATCTAAAAAAGAGCTTGCCAGTTGGTCAATATAAGTTTGATTGTTCATCTCATAAATGATGAATGCAGTAAATATATATACTTTAAGTTTTTGCTTATGATTCTGCCTGTGTCTATTTCTTCTGGAAATCATTCGGTTTAATAATTTTTGTTATGTGTCTGTATGGTTCAAAAGTAATTCAAGATAATCTAATATCCTGATTCTGCAATATGTTTTAAAAAATGATCTTTTTGTCCTATAAAGTGCAAGAAATTTCTGTGGTGTATTATAATGACACTGTTAAAAGAACCTGTAGCCCTTCCACATCGCAAACAATTGGCTTTGTTTTTTGTTGCCATTTTGCTGTTGTTAATATTTGTTAATATTTTCTTCCTCCTTTTTTTTCACCCCTTACTGTGAGTCATAACTACTCATTAGGTAGACCCAAAGATCCCTTTTGAGCATCCCGGTAACTTGTATGACTATTTCTTTAATGTACTCTCAATTAGATCAGAGTTTCCTATGGACCACTTTTTCATATTATTAGCATTTTTTTGCCACTTATCAACACTTCATCATTTGCCTGGAACTTTGGAACAGAAACTTGAGAGAAAATGATTCATTTAGTAAACTCTTACTGAATACTTACTAATGTCTGGGGCTTCACAGATGTATACCCAAAAGCGGGAAAAAGCTTCTGTCCTAGGGAAATTTACAGTCTAATGGGAAGATCATAGCCTAAATTCCAAATTCTTGGTCTAAGTCTAAAATGGTCACTCAGATGAGGATCATTAATGTACTGAGAGTTACATTATATTTTGGTTGCTTAGAAAGGAATGGACCTCTCTTCTAAGTTCAAGACCAGCTGCCTACTTCACCTCTCCTCTTGGAGGTCTCCCTGACACTTCAGGTTCAACATTCATACCCCTCATGACTGCTGCACATCTAATGTCCACTTTCTCAATACATCTTACCACCATCTACTCAGCTATTCAGACCAGAAAGCTCAGGATTGTCTTTGATCCCTCCCTCTTCTTTATTCCCTACCTTTGATTAGCTGCTAAGTCCTGTTGATTCTGTCTCACAAGGGTATCTCATATTTATCTCCTTATCTTCATTTCTATCACCCCCATCCTAGTCCAAGCCACCATCATTATGCAGTATCCTCCCAGCTGGGTCATTTCCTTCTCTCTGCCACCTTTCAAAGACTTCGGAAGACTTAGCATAATTGTTCACTCTCTATCTTCACTAGAGTAAAAGAACCATTCATTATGCAGTATCCTCCCAGCTGGGTCATTTCCTTCTCTCTGCCACCTTTCAAAGACTTCAGAAGACTTAGCATAATTGCTCACTCTCTATCTTCACTAGAGTAAAAGAACCATGCTAGCGAGCATTAGATATCTGTCTTGTCTATCAGTGAATCACTAGAGCCTAGCATACCACTTGGTATATATCAGGTGCTTAATAAATAGATCAGGAATTAGAAGCCTAAAGAGTGGATTATGACATTAATTCAAATAGTCTTCTTTAAAACATCTTATGTTTCTTCTGTTGAAATTTGTTGTATTAATAGTTCCTCAATCAAGAGATATAATTCTGTGAAAGTTGTCTTTAGTACTTCCATATTGAAAACTTTAAATCATTTGGTCACAAGAAAATGTAATTTATTTATTTATTAAATGCATATTTGCTAAGCCATGTCATGTATAAGATCTGTACAGGTCTGTGCAAGGCTCCCTCCAAAAGCCTATAGTCTAGAAAATGAGCTAATACCTAGAATATATGAAAACAAGAGAAGTGCCCTGAAGAGGAGGTACCTTATTTAGGACGTTTTTGTTACAAGTGACATAGTTCCAATTAAATGAATATGTACCAAAGGGGAACATTATTGGTTCATGTAAACACGATGTTGGCCAGTATCGGTGCTTACTTGCTCCCGCTCTTGTCTCTATCTCTCCTGCCTGACAGCTTGGTCTTTCAACCTTGCTTTCTTTGTGAAGCTTGAACCTACAGCCAGCTCTAAGTTTACTTCATCCCAGATACTCAAAGCAGAATAATTGTGATGCACAGTTACCAGAAGAAGAGATAATGAAATGAGAAGGGGAAAGGGGTGGGTGGGAGAGAAACAGTATCTACTCTGGGGTATATATATGGAGTAACATGAAAATTTAAAAGAGAAAGAGAGATTATATCTTAAAAGAGGAATTCAGTGCAATCTCACTGGATCTTCGAAAAATGAATGCATATGAACTTACAGTGACTGGAAAGAACATTTCAGAAGGAGGGGCCGTACCAGCTTGAGAGTAGAAAAGCCTGGAGGATACACAGAACACAGAGCTGTTACATATACATTGAAGCCAGGCTGCAGAAAGGAAAGACTGCAAAAGTGGGTCCGTGCCAGCTTGTGCGAGAACTTTCAATGGAGTTGGAAATTAACATTGTAGGCTACATGAAGCAGAAAAGCTTCAAGACTGTCTTTAAAGAGATAATCGTGTAGACTTTTGTGAGTCCAATTGGTTGACAAAGGAAGATGTAAGAAGAAGTTATTCCAATGGTCTAGGTGAAACGTCTTAACAGCTCAGATACAGTAGCAATAATACCGAGATACAAGCAGAACCTTGTACTGGACATTATGAAATGTTAAATACTGTTTGCAGTTATTTCTCAGTGATCTTTGAATGCTTGTTGCCATTTTCCCTTTCCTCCCCCATTCTCAAAAACTGCATTATTACGATGTACAAACCAGGTGATAGGTATATGTATCCATGTGGTACTTCACTCCTATTTGTAATCTGAAAAGAAATAACTTTCATGTGATCAGCACACAAATAAGTAGTCTAATTTGGTGTTTTGTCCTGTTTTAAGGAAAGAAGACTTTCAAAAGGAGGAAAATCTACTGCCAAATAACTCAGCATCTCCTGCAGAACCACAAAATGTGGAAGAAAGTCATTGAAGACGAGCAGCTATTGGTGGGTGTAGAAAATCAGTCCCTGGACCGGGGTCCCCAGCAGCACTCCTCGGAACAGATTCAGGCCATCAAAGAAGAAGAGGAAGAGAAAGGCAAACCAAGAGGAGAGGAGATCCCAACCCCAAAGCCGAACCAGTGAAGATGGAGAGAACGAGCCGTGTTTCCAAACAGATTTACTCGTCACAGACTCTTCAAGCCAGCACAACACTTAGACACAACACTGTAGAAAGAAGAGAAGATGGCAAATGGCTATTGCATTTTGGGATTCTTCGCATTTTATGTGTTTATTTTTACAGTGAGGTACATTGTTAAAAACTCTTGCTCAAAGAAGCTTTCACATTGCAACACCAGCTTCTGAGGATTTTTTTTAAGGAGGAAATATATATGTGTGTGTGTATATAAGCTCCCACACAGATACATGTAAGACATTCACATACCCACACACGTGCACACACATACACACTGAAAGCCAGGGTTACTGGCTCCACAATTTAGTAACAGTCATATTAAGATATATAGTGGTCACTGTGATATAATAAATCATAAAGGAAAATCAATCACAAAGGAAATGGTGTGACTTAGCAGGGAAGCGGTGCAGCAGCAAATGTAGGCTACCGACTAAGCAGCTTTTGCTCTTAGTACTGAGGGATGAAAGTTCCAGAGCGTTATTTAAATTCTGATACATCCTGCCAACACCATGTGTGTGCTTGTGTGTGTATGGGTCTGTGTGTGTGCGCGTGAGTGCATGAGAGCGAGCTCAGGAGTGTGCTCAGACTGAAAGGGTGCTTGTGTGCATGTGCGTGTATGTAAAGAGAGATTTTTGTGGTTTTAGTAGTTCATAGAATAGCCGTAGAAGATGACTCAGTACATGTGAACAAACAGAAGAAAGTTTTTTCTGGAGTGTCCTTGAGAGGCCGCCATCCCAAATGTCCTCCTCCGTTTAGCTTCTGTAAAGGTCCCTTTGCAGATAGAGGACATTTGTGGGCTGGGTGAGAGGGCCATGTGATCGGTACTACTGCTATACACCACTTGGAGGCACTCTGTCACCAGCCTCCAACCTGGAAGACTGAGGCATTTTCCAGTCTACTGGCCTAATGAATGTATCTGAGCTGTTTGTGGGTATGTATGTCACTCACCTAAGATCAAATCACCATTTAAGGGGATGGCATTCTTTATATATAAACACCTAGGAAGGAGCTGGAGTCGGGTCTTTAAATCAGGTTAGAATTCTGAAAGGATGCCAAAGAAGGCCTGGAAAATGACACTTGAAGTAATCTCCTGTGTCTTCTTAATTTGCTGCAAAATGTAGGATAGAAAACGAAAAAAGAAAGGCAAACACAAACCCTCTATGGGTTGTAGAACAGGAGAGGAAGGAGAAAATTTCAAGCTCGGGTTTTGGTGTTGATGTAGGGAAAGTTGGATCCCTGGCACCTGTTGAAGATTGGCTCTGGGGGCTGAAGGTCCCACTGTCACCCCTGTTGTGGCATTCCACGTGCTGTGTGATGGGATAGCTTCTATCTGCAATCTGACCCATTGTCATGCTTCTTTTGGCAGGGAAGATTATAGAGGGATTGTTTAGATATTGGGCTGTTATTGGAAGTCTTTTTTATTTTTATTTTTTGGTTTGTTTATCTACACTTGTTTATGCTGTGAGCCAAACCTCTATTTAAAACGTTGATACTCACTTTCAATATTTTATTTCATATTATTATATATGTAATGAATAGTTATCTTGATGTAAATATAAAGATTTTTTTGTTTGTTTCTGTAGATAGTAAACTTTTTTTTAAAAAAAAAAGGAAAAGGGAAGCATTTTTATAAAGTTATATTTTAATCACCATTTTTATACATTGTAGCTACTATCTCCAAGCCCAGTAAGAGAGTGAAGATTCATGTGCATGAAGGTCTATGGACAGCCACTCATCTACCTATTCTAATTTAAATGATAATCTGATGTGATTATTTTTGCCAATTAAATGAGGATGCTGCAAAGAATATTTTTTTTTCACTAGTAACGTCTGCTAACTGAATGACTTTTGGGTCCATGTCTCCCAGATGAAAGACTTTCTTAACTACTACCAAATTTTTACAATTGATGTCCATTTCTTTCCAACACTTTTGGTTATAACTCTTCCTTCAGTACTATACACAGACCTGCACATCATCTAAACAATCCTAGCTTCTAAGCAAACCTTGATTGTGATTTTTACTTTTTATTTCCTCTGAAGTCATAGAAGGGTGTGTTTACATTAAAAATGCCTTTGTTTCTCATGAATGGATATTGCATTTTTTTCCTTCCACAGCATGATTTTACAGTAATCTGTGGCATTTTTCAAATAAGGTAAAGATAATACAATAAAAAATAAACATGGTTTCAAGGCATTTTTTTCCAGTAAGAGGGAAATGTAAAAAGGAGCAAATGGATGTAGACTCTATCTAAATAATTAGACTATATTTTAGTATATTTCTGAGTTAACACCAGATCTTCATTATTTAGGAATTACTGAGTTATTTTCATTTTTTTAGTATTGCCTATGTGTCTCTGCATTTGCAAAAATTACTCGGAGTCAAATACATTTTCCGTAGTGAATTTAACTGTTTTCCTTCCCTGGCGAATAAGAGAAGAGAGAAAAGGGGGGGAAAAAGCATTTATACTAGTATATTTCTTGCATCTAATTACTTAGTGAAAATAATCTTTTCCCCTTCCCCAATTTCTATGCATCTCTAAAATAAATACAAATTGAAGAAAAAACTAAGCATGAGCAAGTGGATTGGCAGAACAGTTGTGAGTTCATAACCATATATTGACAGTTTTATCAAAATCGCGTGGCCCCAGGAAGGCTGCCAGAGTGAAGGTATCAGCAAACTGTCTGGTTTTGCTTGTTTTGTTTTAAAGTACATGAAATAATAAGAATAACAGTGGTCAAAGCAATTAGAACCTCTTCATTCCAGAATTGTGTTTATTAGTCCAGGCAGATTGATAATTTTTTCTTCAAAAGCAAACTGCCCTGATATTAAAGCTAGAAGTCATTTGAAATAAAGGGATAGAGAACCACCAAGTGTGTGACTTGCATATATATCCAGTACACTCCAAAGGATGCCGAGAGACCCAGAAAAGATATTTTCTGCTAGTGATGCTATTTTCTCCCCTTCTCGGTGACAGCAGTATTGCTGTGTCCACTTCCAACTCTGAAGCTTACTTCCTGTGGTGCCAATGTATTTGTTGCAATTTACTACATTTTTATATGAGCTTGTTTATAGGTGCCATTAGATAAACTCAGGTCTTTCAAATGAAGGAGTTTCTAGCCCACTTAGGGACAAGGATATTTTATAGACAGCCATAAAATCGATGGTAGGAAAAGTTGGAACTGGTTCCCTGGATATCCATGGTTGCTCTCTGTTAAGTAAAAGACCAGGTGTATTCTGAGTGTCATTAACATCATTTTCAGCCTTCTAGTAAAGTATCTTTCCAGTCATCTATCTAAGCTGACCTTTAGAAAATTGTTACCTTGTTAAAAAAACATTTTTCGCTTTTTTTTTTTAACCTTAATTTTTTTTTTTTTTGGTCTTTTTTATAAGACATGGTTATGCTGTCAGTAAAAGATGAAGACAGTCGCTCTGTACAGGGATGTGCATATCTGTATTGGCCTTCATCTGGCAAGTGAAGGAATCTCCTATTATGTTTAAGGAAGTATCTACTTTCTAAACACAGAATACCCAATTCTGTCTGTTCCATTTTGGTTGAATTCCAGAACAGATCCTAACCATGGCAAGCTAAATAAAACTGAAGAAAAGGAAGTAAATGTCATGCAGACTGTTCATATTACATGTGTGTAGATTGTTGATTTGCTATTTCCCCATGTCCCCTGCCTGCCTTTCCCAGAGAACTTTCTTTGAAGGTAAAAGCTGTGCAAAAGGCATGAGACTCAGGCCTATTTGTTTAAATAATGGAAAAAATAAGTTATTTTCTAAGTAATAAAAATATGAAAATTATCACTGTAAATAAAGTCTGAGGTTTGAAATGACTGATTTATAAAAGTGACCTGTTTGTGTGATGAACAACTTCTGACTAATGAGAAGTAGATAATCCAGATATCATTTATATTCTGCTTTGGGAGGTATTCTTGGTGCTTCCATGTCAGTATGGGGATCTCCACTGTCCTTGTCATTTATAATATTTCTAAAATAATAATGAAAACTACAGTACGGGTCTTATTGCCCTCTTCCGTACTAACCCTGATTCCCGTTGAATGCCTTTTTCCTGATTTATGTGCCATTTGCAAATAAACTGCATTTTCAAACTGGTGGAGGCCTCCAGTAAAACAGTTCTGTGAACTTTCACAGTCTAGAGTAAATCAAGAATCTCCTTATTCTGGAGATTATCAGCTAATCTGTATGAAAAAAGAATCAGCAAAATTTCAAATGCTAATAGCTCAACTTTAGATAATTGGGAGCTAAAATTTCTATGTACTTTTAAACCAAACTGAGGTTTTTTTTTTATTATCTCTCCTAATTAGCAATGAAATATTTTATGACCATTTTTCTAGGTCATTCATTTCTCTCATGATTTCCCCATGAAATAAAACTATGAATTTGCTAATATTGTCAGTCCATTTTAAAAAATCTGTTCAAGTAAATTTAATATTAGGAAACCAGCTAGCCATTTTAAAGAGCATTTCAAAACTCAATTATTTTTAGAATTTCTAATTGAGAGAAAGTAGACCTGTTTTAAGTTTTATATTCATATCATATCAATTTGTTCCTCTAGAAAATTTTCAGATTCTTGAAATTTAATTGGGGGTGAATTGAACTATAAGCACTGAGTTAATTAAACTATGATTTAGATAACTTACATTGAGGTTTGTCCAAGTATTTGTATGTTTCACCCCAATGAACTATGGTCAGAGAAAAAGAACATATTTTTATGTACCATGGGTGTTAGGCAATTTGGATTATTGCCTAACACATTGCATTTGTTGAAATAGTGTTGCTTTTACCTTACCTAATGGTGCTTTTACCTTACCTGAATTGATCATTATGTTCCCACTAGCAAATCATTCTAATAGCAGGTTAACAATGGTGACAAAAGTAATTGAGTATAATTTTTTGCTAAATATGTTTGAAAACACAAAACTCAAGATAAAGGCTTTATTTACTTGGTGGAACTACATGTTAATCTGCTTATTCAAAAATACTGGTCCAGTATAAATTATTTTCATGTAGGTAAGACCATAAAGTATTTGTACATGGTATTATATGTAGATGGAAGATAAAATTGGCTTTTGACATATGCTTAAGGTTACTAAAAAAAAAAATCCATATTTCCAGTCTAAAGGCAGCTAGTTCTTCTGCATATCATGTTTTCAAAGTTGATTACCTTGACACACTTTAGTATTCCTGGATTTCTGCTTCCCTGAGGAGTTGTGGAAAATGAAGAAAAGCCAAGCCTTCTTTTATTTAAGAATTGTTGAGCATGTTCATGTTCAGACAGATTTTCTCACTGCTTCACATCAAGAAGTGGTTCTTTAATCATGGAAATTATTTAATCAAAAAATGCTTCAAAGAGTAATATTAAATCATCATATCAAAAATATTAAAATTTGATTTCTTGAACCAAAGCTGTATTAAATTTTTTTTTATTATTGAATTAAATTGAAACCCACAAAATGACATTCCATGAAACTGAGATGCTGAGTCTTTTAATATAATCAGAACTAGTATCATGTAACAGAAAACTGGAAATTATTAATTCTCCTCTAATTATTTTTCTAATGTCCTTCATGCCTCCTGGGATAAAATGTTTCAGAAGGGTCCAATACATACGTAAGATCAAAATAAATGTATTCCTCATACCTTTGATTAAGTGTATGAATTATTGTCTGAGCTCTTCTTAGTTATCCCAAGATAAAGGAATGCACTATCCAGCAATTTATCATGGCTTAGGTTTTTGTAAAATAAATGGTCTATTAATATAAACTTTATTTTACTAAATTCTAACAATTAAAAAGCCAAATACTGGGGCCGGCCCGGTGGCGCACTGGATAGTGTGCC